CCTGGAGTAATGAGAGGAGAAGGGAAGGAGACAGGTCTGAGCACAGCGGGGCAGGAGGTTGGGGTGAGTGTGTGTCTGTGGTTTTGTCTGTCCAGCAGGAAGGCAGGTAGATGCTAGAGCTGAACTATGAGGTGCTGCTGGAGGAACAGCCCCTCCAGATCCTGCTCGTAGGGAATTGGGGGGTAACAGTTCGCGGTTCCGCCAAAGGTTGCCCAGCCATAACGTGTGCCAGAGCGAGTGGGTGGTAACCACGGAGGGGTGCCCTGATCTCCCCTGGGACTGAGGGTGTCCTGGGTGGACAGGGCTGGAGACATCCAGGATCTCCCATTCCCTGGTGGGAATGCTGACACCTCCGCCCTGGGCACCTGCAGCTCCAGCTGCCCGTGGGCTACTGAGTGAAGGAGCAGGGCGTCACTGATCCAGCGCTGCTGCTACCCTTCTCGGTGGCTCCCGTCTGTCCTTCCTTTGCAGGTGCTGTGTGGGGCAGTTTGCTCCCTCTGCACTGAGCAAACCCCTGCCCAGCCGGTGTGAGCTCCAGCCCAGGGGCAATGAGGCAGGGCTGGTGGGTGGCACAGCCCCACAGCGGGGGATTTGCTTGCAGGGCTGGGCAGAAGGAGCTGGGAGAAAAGCCTGCCCTTCACCAGCAGAAGTGTGGATGGACAGATGCTGCTGCGAGGCTAAATATAGCCCCTGGCCCCGTGAGGAAGAGGAAATCCTACTGAATTATGTATGAGGCTGCAATAAGCCCCCGCTCATCAACACTGAAGAGGGTTGGCCGGGCAGGACGGCAGCTCCCGTGGGATGCAGGCCCCGTGAGGAAGAGGAAATCCTACTGAATTATGTATGAGGCTGCAATAAGCCCCCGCTCATCAACACTGAAGAGGGTTGGCCGGGCAGGACGGCAGCTCCCGTGGGATGCAGGCGGGATGCAGGCGAGCAGGGCAGGGACAGAGCGCCTGGCGGGGACCCAGCCATCCTCGGCCTCGTGTTTCTCCCAGGGAGAGCAATGGCTCGGAA